TAGTTCTGTTTGCTGAAGGAAGAAGTTAGGCTCCATCATAAACATTTATGAAATTCCTTTTTACAAGATCACACCAAGGAGGATGATAAACAAATTAGCATTCAGCTACAACAACAAGGGCAAAAACATGCCATAAAGCTATCAATAAACCCCCCGAAAAACAGACAGGGAAAGCATATTAACAGTTAAAGACTGCATATAACTGAGGATAAATTCATGTTATATTAAATCTTCCTATATATATGATGTTATACCATTCGGTTAGAGAAAATGGGAGGGGGGGAGGAATGACAGTTGCTTTTCTTTAAAATTCACATCCTGTAGTCATCTCCTCCCCACACTTCTCCCCCCCCTGCGCCTAGGCAGACTGCCTGCACGGAAAGGCTTTCAGAGCACCCGTTTCCTTACTAATTGGCAGTGACAGAAGCAGAAAATGTCAAAAAACTTCTTTTCCCCCCAAAGCTGAGCTTCACTTTCCCCCCAAGTTGACTTTAATTACTTAAATAGATATAAACACAAAAGTGAGCCCCGGGGCGGCACCTTCAAAAACAAATCCACACAGCGGTTTTCTTGCAGCATAAGCTCTTGTAAAATACAACCTACTTCATTAGATGCATGGTTTGCTCTCTGCTGTTTGTTTCTGATTCAATTCCAGTAGCATCTTAGAGACCAACAACATTTTTTTTTTGGGGGGGGATAAGAGTTCAAGCTCCCTTCGTCAGATTTCAGGAGCTCTTTCTTGAAAGCTTATACCTGAAATTTATCTCGTTAGTTTCTAGACGTGAATCTGGCTCTTCTGCTGCAGACTGACAGGGGCTACCCTCATGAAACTTTGCTTCTGATGGTTCCATGGAAAAGTAATTTGAGGTGCCCATTTGACCTTTGCTCAGAAAGGTCACAGACATCGCCTCTGGTGCTGCATGGCCTTTTGTTCCCACTATTCGCATATTTCCCCCCCCCTTTATGTCCTATATATCTGTCAGCTAAGGATAACACTTCCATGCATTAGATGAACAGGCTCTAGACCACGAAAGATTATGCCATGCTGCCACCTGTAAGCCTTTTAAGATGCTACAAGCCTCCTCCTCTTCTGTTTTCACCGTCACCAACTGACACCGCCACCCTAAACAGAGTAACATGCTTCGGTCAATGGACTTTGAACGATATAACTCGGTTTAGGATGACACTGTAACTTAGCTTCCCATTGGCAAACTGATAAAGGCTACTAAGAAAAAACATCAACTTCAAGTATAGGTTAATTGGGTCTGAACTTGCTGAGAATGAGAGGGGAAAAGCTTTTGGGGTTGTAGTGAATAGCTCGATGAAAACGTCAACCCAGTGTGCTGCAGTGGTGAAAAAGGCAAACTCTATGTTAGGGATTATTAGGAAAGGGATTGAGAATAAAATAGCTACTATTGTAATGCTCCTGTATAGACATATGGTGTGGCCTCATTTGGAATACTGTGTACAGTTCTGGTCACCACATCTCCAAAAGGACATTGCAGAGATGGAGAAAGTACAGAGGAGGGCAACAAAGATGATTACGGGGTTAGAGCACCTTCCCTATGAGGAAAAGCTGAAGAGTCTGCACTTTTCATTTGAGAAGAGAGACATAAGAACATAAGAGAAGCCAATGTTGGATCAGGCCAATGGCCCATCTAGTCCAACACTGTCAAACAGTGGCCAAAAATACCAGGTGCCATCAGGAGGTCCAGCAGTGGGGCCAGGACACTAGAAGACCACCCACTGTTGCCCCCCTAAGCACCAAGAATACAGTGCATCACTTGCCCCAGACTGAGAGTTCCTATCTAGACCTTGTGGCTAATAGCCACTGCCCACTGATGGATCTCTGCTCTATGAGCTTATCTAATTCCCTCCTGAAGCTGTCCATGCTTGTAGCCATCACCACCTCCTGTGGCAGTGAATTCCATGTGTTACAAGTGGGAGACATGACAGAGGGTTTATAAAGTGATGCATGGGATGGAGAGACTTGACAAAGAGAGCTTTTTCACCCTCTCCAAAATACCAGAACTTGAGGGCATCCAATGAAGCTGATGGGCAGTAGGTTCAGGATGGACAAAAGGAAATACTACTTTACAGAGAGTAATTAAAATGTGGAGTTTGGTGCCAGATGGTAGCCACAGGAATAAACAGCTTGAAAAGGGGATTAGATAGATTCATGGAGAATAGTGGCTACTAGCCATGGTGACAGAGGGGAACCTCTGCATTCAGACGCACTAATCCCAGAGCCAGGAGGCACACATCAGCCTTAGCCTCTATGCCCTGCTGCTGGCCCTCCAGAGGAACTGGCTGGCCATTGTGTGAGACAGGATGCTGGACTAGATGGACTATTGGTCTGATCCAGCAGGGCTCTTCTTATGTTCTTATTAAATAAAATGTCCTATCCAGATCAGAGAACATATTTTAGACATTTCTATCCCATACACTCAACCCACAATGAATGGGGCTTGAAGAATACGTTCCTACTGGACTGTGCCCATTTTGCCCACATTTCCTCACCATATTCAGAAATTTTCTTATCGTATAAGGCCCTTGCACAGTTTTCCTCCAGCATCAATCATTGCAAGCTGAAGGATAAGTTGCACAAATAGACAGCTCAACACGTTACCCTGTCAACCAATCTGGATCCTCATAATAAATGCTAATCTGTCAGCCGTATTCACTTGGATGATAATTTGCAATTGTAAACTTACACTGAAGCAGAAAATTCGATTCCATCTTTAGCATAAAGGACACATTCCCCCCTGAAATTCTGACAAAAAGGCACACGCGCTTATCCTTGCTGCAGACTCGTGTTTCGTTAGTTATGTTTAATGTTCAAGAAAGGTGTTTGTTTTATTACCGCTTTAAGCACAAAGCTTCTGTTCAGCCATCAAGTTTAAAACAACACGACCCAACGCTTTGCAAACATGGCCTGACATGTTTTGGGCCACAAGTGGATACCTTTGAAAGACAGGTAAAACGTAGTCTGCTCTTAGACTGCCCACAAAGTCCCATCAGGGTGTCTGGGACTTGAACAGGGAACTTGTTAGCCTGGGGCTGGAACCTAACTAAGTGAGCTGTACGTGCTCCATTAGGCAGGCAGATCAAGAGTTTTATGGCAGAAAAGCATCCACAGTACATTATGCCCAATGCTGTCCAACCCCTTAAAGAAGCTTGTCTGGTGGGCACATGAGAGATGGCCTCTTTGGTGGCAGTCCGACGATGACAGAACAACCTCCCCAGGGAGGTATGGCTGGCACCCTCGCTTCCGATCATTCGGTGGCAGTTAGGACAGCACTTGATTCATTTAGTTTTCCTATTTTGTGGCTGTCTTAAATTGTGATTTCTAAATTGCAATTTGTATGCATTTTTATGGTTATTGTTTTGTTTACATTGTGAACAGCCCTTTGAGTTCTGTAAGGTAGAAAGGCTGCTAATATAAATGTTTTAATAAAGAAAAAAAATAAAAGCATTCTCCACACACAGAAATGAATAGGGACATACACCATCAGCTCCTGCGAATAGGTTAAGACGCTGAGCTGCAGACCGGAAGGTCTGTAGGTCGGCAGTTCGAGACCCTAGGGCCGCGTGACGGAGTGAGCTCCCGTCTCTGGCCCCAGCTCCTGCCAACCTAGCAGTTCGAAAGCAAGAAACTGCAAGTAGATAAATAGATACCGCTTCGGTGGGAAGGTAACAGCATTCTGTGCGCCTCAGCATTTAGTCATGCCAGCCACATGACCATGGAAATGTCTTTGGTCTGCGCTGGCTCTCCGGCTTGAAAACGGAGATGAGCACTGCCCCCTAGAGTCAGATTCGACTGGCTTTTGAGCAAGGGAAACCTTTACCTTTTACTTAGGAAGTCTCTGGATCAGACAGGCCTGGCCATCTACCCTCATAGGCTTAAAGAGCAATACTGTCTGTCGGCTGCACTTCAGCCTGCAACTGACCTCAAGGATCCTGGGGCTAGTGAACGCAGAGTTCCGGCCTACGTTTGTGCCCATAACCCTGGCATTAGTCATCATTTTCAAGACACATACACACATGCCCTTCCCACAATAACCCTCCTTCGGCCTCGAGATGCTGAATGGAAGTTTTATATACAGTAATGTGAATGTCAAGAAGCAACAGGTTAGGCAACAGATGTAACTGGGCCACCTTCACTCCAGATGTAACTTGAGCCACCTTCGCTACAGCCAGGTGACACTCGTCCATGAACCCTTCCATAATAATCAAGCCACGTGGCCGGTAAACAAGAATCACTGAAATTTCTCCAAAGAATAAAAGCAAGGCATAAAACCAACCAGTTGGAGCAAAGAAATAAGGATGAGCAACAGAACAGTTTATGCTGATGGAACAGATTTGATGACGGTTCTGGATGTCTTATAAACCACCTTGGGCTCACTTGTTGAAGAAAGGTGATGCATAAACATTTTAAAATAAAATAATGTTGTACAAATGTGGGCTCGAGAGACTCATGGGGGAGGGAATCCCCCCTCCACTTTCTCGCCAGGCCCAGGATGGCTTCTGGCGTTTGCTGCAGCTGCTGCCAGGCCCGCCATGGGTCCTAGGCTCTGCCACAACTGCTGCTGGGCCAGCACAGCTCCTGGAATCTGCCACAGCCACCAACGACCATGTTCACTTCCTTCCAGGAACTCTTTTGAAATCAAGATATCTGCTAAGGAACGTTTCCCTGTCTGCCCTGGAGATAGCTTGACAGGAGGCAGGGATATCTGGGGGAAATTTAAAAAACAACCCCCAAATGTATTTTTTGGAAGATGTCAGATTTTTTTGCAAACCTGGGGGTTGTCCCAAGTTTGCAGAAACACCTGTTTCGGGTGATCGTGACCCTGATCCACTGCTTTAGATATCTACAGATGTGGACCACGCTCGAAAAATGGATATATAGATGTGAATCAAAGGCATATTCTAGGCCGTTCAAGTAAACTGCCACAGAGCTGCATTAGCTACATACAAAATGTATGCATGGAAATTGCTACCTTATTCACTTCCATGATTTCCCTTCTCTCTTCGCTAGCAAAGTGAAGCTGACTGGCTGCTCCGCGGTCATCGTGCTTGGAGCCGTCTTCTTCAACATAAGGAATGAGTTGCTAAAATGAAAATAAGGCTTTTTATAGAAAACACACTGGCAACTTCTTGTAGAATTAGGAATGAAAAATTAGTTTTGTGTGTTCTTAAAAAGAAAAGAAAAGGAGAGTGAGGGAGAGACAAGAGAGTTCACCGCGATAGAAAGGCAAAGGAACTCCAGTGTTTGAACTGCATGGTTAACTTTCAGATATTTTAGGAAATTTGACAGCTACTCTTTTGCAAATAATTATTCTGTGAAGCTTTATATATATATTATTACATAAGTAAAAGGTTAAAATATGTTGAATTTAAAAGCACTTTGGTTAGAGCAAGGAACAAAAGAAAACGGTTCTCACTACGGGTGGAACGACATATTATGTGCAATTTCACACTCTTTTGTATTGAGTTCTTATTTTTATACAGTGCAGTTGCTGGAAGAAACTGTAATTTAAAGGGGGAAAATAGTATTGGGGGGAGTGGTTTCTTAACCCTTTGCCCTTTTCTCTTGCTGAAAATCACCCTCCCCTTCCTTGCTTGTATTTTACCTGCCAGGGAAAACTGGCCATGTAGCCATAAAATTTCCCCAGTGGGGCCAAAAGCAGGCATGTGGAGGCACTTTCCCTGCCAAGGAAGGAAGAGGATTAAGAAAATGCTGCCATACAAGTCTTTTCCTTTAAACTGCAGCTCCAGCAGCTGCGCTATATAAATCTGAACAAAAGGAGTTGATAAAAAAAAAGGATTGCAGAAATACATACAGCCTCCACCCCTATGTCTTCATGTTATGGAAATATAAAACACAATTCCAAACATTTACCTCTACAGGAGATACTTCTCTCCCACTTACCTCTATGGGAATAGGATCAAGCCCCGCACAGTTCTCGTTGCATTTGTCATAAACTAATCTCAGTTTCCTGAAAAGTATCGAGAGTTGACGGAGGTGCTCTTGCAGCTTCCCTAGCCTGTCTTGATATGTGCCTGTATGATAGGTTACGCCATTTGGAAGCTGGAGAAATCAAGCATTAAAAAGGAAGAAAGAGACAATAAAAACCAAGGTCATATTTCATTAATTTTCCAAAATAAATTAATATTGAAATATTAAATACCAATTGTGACAGACTGGGCCTGCATCAGCTGGCGGACCCCACTCCACCCACCCCTACTTTGCCTGACCTGGCACCTGAAGGGCTGTTTCACTCCACTGCCTCAGTGTACTGCTGCCACCGCTGTCCCTGTCTTGGGCTCTGGTTAGGCGTGACAGCCTCCTAACCTCCCTCTGGTGACACTAGGAACCTGCCTCGGGCTTCCCAGGACTCTTTGGGGCTTCCCTGGAGAGCTGGCAGCTTGCCATTTTACCACTTTTCTCCTCCTCAGGGATCCCCTGACCCACTCCTAGCATTTTCAAATGGTGGGGGAACTATGTGGTACAGAGGGCCTTCACTTCTTCAACAATTAAGGCTGCCAAGTTCCCCGGGGGGGGGCGGGGGTTTGCCCACCCAAAGGGCCCCCAACTCCCAGTCCAGATCAGGCCGGCGGGGGGAACCCTGCCCCCAAAGTGCCCGTTTTGGGACGTCATCACGTTGGGCACGTCGCCAGCCTACGCTCTAGCAATCAGCCTGAAAACTCTATGGTACCATCTCCCGGACCAGGAACAACTCTCCCCCGCTGCACAACGTAAGTGACTTGGCAACCCTATCAACAGTCAAAGGATTTATTTAAAACTCTCAACTATTTACAGGCACATCAAAAGTGAACAGAAGAAACAAAACAATGTTGACAAAAAGGCTTCATCTCTCTCTCTCTCCTTTAAACTCATGCCCTATCTAGGCGGTATGCAGGGCAGGTACATTACTTCATTACTCTGGAGTAAGCTGGACAAACATATTTCCCAAAATGGCCTCCATCTCTGTCCTGGGAACGGGGCTATACCTGCCTCCGTCTCATACAAACTCCAACCGACCAACCGTCTGACTCCACCCCAAAACTCGATAATATAAGCAGCAGTTCCTGCCCAGGAACTGGCTCTCCCTCCTGCGGCATTTTGGGGCCGATCCTTGATGGATTTCCCGTCCTCTCTAGGGAGTTGCCCTCAGATTACTGGTTGGAGACAGGAGGGGAGGGGGGAATGAGGAGGAGATCAGGCCAAGGCCTACCTAAAGTTTGATAGTGTCCTCCTATCCAGTCCACACAAAGTTAAAACCACACACTTCTTTCTTTCAGCTTTAAGCATTCCTGGATATGTATGGCAAACACACACTTGCCTATTAATGCTAGTTGTAGAAATCATATTCAGTAGTTAGTTATTTTGGTGTCACCCTTCTTTGAAATAAAAACACCCATAAGAGATAAAAGCGCAATAAGAAGTAGCCATTAAAGATTAAAAACAGTTGCTTCAAAAGTTACCTGAAAGGCATGTCAAAATGTTTTCAGCTCATCCCCCCTCCCCAAGCTAAAAGCAGTTAAGAAATGGTGGGTTTCTTAGGGGGGCTTGAGAAGACCAGAGCCACTCCTACTCCCTGGAGATGTTATCTGGCACAAGAAACAGGAGGAGGAGGAGGAGACTGGATTTATACCCCCACCCTTCACTCGGAGTCTCAGAGCGGCTTACAAACTCCTTCCCTTGCTATCCCCACAACAGACACCCTGTGAGGTAGGTGGGGCTGAGAGAGCTCTGACAGAAATTGCTCTTTCAAGAACAGCTCTGACAGAACTATGGCTTGCCCAAGGTCATCCAGCAGCTGAAAGTGGAGGAGTGGGGAATCAAACCCGGTTCTCCCATCTGGAAGATCAAGAGGACAGGCAGCTTTGTATGGAAAAGTACCGTACAGGGTATGTGGGAGCTAGTCTATTTACAACAGTAGAAACACTGACTACATGTGTGCACAGCCAAATCAATCCATCGCCTTACAAAATCATTCAGTTATCTAAGACATTTAAACCCTGTTGTAGTAACATATATTTCCAGAGTGGCATGCAATTAAAAACAATACAAAACTAAAGACATTTTCTTTTAATTGACTGACACCTCACCTTTCTCCCCAACGGAGACCCGAAGCAGCTTACATCATTTACCTCTCCTCCATTTCACCTTCGCAAAAACCCCATGAGGTAAGTTAGACTGAGAGGGTGTGGCCGGCGCAAGGCACCCAGCAAGCTTCCACTGAAGAACTGGGATTCGAACCTGGGTCTCCCAAATCCTAGTCCAAAAACTCTAACCAGTATGCTGAGTCTCAATAATTCTTAATAAATTATTATAATTCTTAATAAATTATATCCTGTTTTTCTCCCCAGCGGGGACCCAAGGCAGTTTACATCATTCTCCCCTCCTCCTTTTTATTCTCACAACAACGCTGTGAGGTAGATTAGGCTGACAGTCTGTCTGTGTCTGGTCCAAGGTCACCCAGCAAGCCTGCAGAAGTGGAGATTCGAACCTGGGTCTCCCAGATACTAGTCCAACCCTCTTCACCACTACAACATAATAATAAGAGCAATAGCAACAACAGTTACAGTTCTGTTTGGTGCTAGGGAGACATTTGCTCAACTACTGACGTTCACATTTTAATGTTACCGGCTACCATTTTCCCTTCTTTCCAGAAGGCTCAGCTTGATGCCAGTTCCACCCAACATCACATAATCTATTCAAGCCTGCCTGGCATTCAGCACAAGACACAGATAAGCATCCCCAGGACTGAAGCCTGAAACAATTTCCCCTCCTTAACATCAAGCCTGATAAAGAGCTCTAGTAGGACACAAAAGTTTGTTGGTTGATTGATTGGATTTATTAAATTTCTACTCTGCCCTCCCGGCCGAGGTTGGCTCGGGGCGACTTACATAAAACACCTAAAATTTGAACATGTTTTGCATCATATCGGTTGGGGTCCTAAAATATGGCTTTGATTTTTGAACTAAAGGGGGGGGGGAACTCCTGTGACAACCATTCAATCAGCAGGTCCAGTTAAAACCTTAGTTAAAAGTTCACAGGAGAGCAAACAAAATATTCCAAGACTGAGGGAAATTGACCAAATGTTTGGGTGAACAAAACATCTTACCCTGGCATCTTTAAAAATAAGTTGGCAAACTTGGTGCTATGAGAACCCTCAAGAGGTGTCACCAAGCTTTGGCATTATAGCCAAAATGAACTTGCGCAGCACTCAGAATCTTATTGCTTAGATCTTTCGAACAAGTAAGGCAAACTGGCTTCAGTGGGATTTATTCCCATGTTTAGGATCAGGATATTACATGTAAATAAATTCCACTGAGCTCTCCAAATAAATATTCTTTGAATAACTGCGTCAAAAAAACGAAGATGAAAGTAAACCAGATAATCCATTCTCTCACACATTCTCATTTTTAAAAAAATGCACTCTAGAAACTTTAGTGCTAACATCATCATTTTTGTTTGGGAGGGTAATGGTGGGAGGTTACTCGTTTCTAAGAATTTGCATTGCAAAGAGAGGATCAAAGAAACTACCAGATGTCAAAGGCTTGTAAGAAATGCTGAAAGGGAGCTAAACAAACAAACAAACACAACATTTCAAAACACTCATCCCTCTACAAGTTCATAACTTATATTTGCTTCAGTGAGTAGGTTTACCCTTTTGTTGTTCAGTCGCACAGTCGGGTCCGACTCTTCGCGACCCCATGGACAAGATCTCGCCAGGCCCTCCTGTTTTCCGCCGTCCTCTGAAGTTTGCTCAATTTCATGTTCGTTGCATCAATGACACCGTCTAACCATCTCATCCTTTGCCGTCCTGTCTTCTTTGACCTTCAATCTTTCCCAGCATCAGGGTCTTCTCCAGTGAGTGCTCCCTTCTCATTTGGTGGCCAAAGTATTTGAGCTTCAGTTTCATTATCTGCCAAGGTTTACCCTAGTGAGGGCTAAACACAATCTGTCTTTTCAAATACCTGACTCAGATAGCCCAGGCTAGCCCAATCTCATTAGATCTCAGAAGCTAAGTAGGGTTGGCCCTGTTCAGTATTTGGATGAGAGTCCCCGACGGAAGCTCAGGGTCTCTATGTAGAGGAAGGCCATGGCAAACCACCTCTGTTTGTCTCCTGCACTGAAAACCCCACAAGGTCGCCGTAAATTGACTGCAACTTGACTGCACTTGACATACACACAGACCGATTTTCCACAAGCAGCCCCTGCGCTTCCCTTTCCCCTGATTGCATTCGTCAATTTCCCACTACTTGCTGCATGGCCACATTTTGACCCGCTGCATCCCCCGATTTCCCCCACACCTTTGCAATCTCAAATAACAAGGATTGCGAAGACGTGGGGGTAATCGGGGGATGCTGCAGGTCGGAACGCAGCCGCGCAGCAAGTAGTGGGAAACTGATGAATGCAAACGGGGGGGGGGAGGGAAGCGCGAGGGCAGTGCAGTTGCTTGTGGGAAATCAGTCACAATCACAATGACTCAATGAAGGCCAAACAATCCATCTACTGCAAGGTAAAAACACAGTCCTTGTCAAATATCAAGATCTATTCTAATTAAAGTATGCATTTTTTCATAAACAGCAGTTTTTGACAACTTCTCCAGTTCAGGAAAAAAGGGAAACTTGATATAATGAGGCAATCAAATGATGCACGTTTATGAAGGTATGGATCCTACTGAACTCACTAGTATTTATCTCTAAGTAAATCTGACTAGGACTGGGCTGTACAACAGCAAGCCTATCCATAATTACTGAGAAATAATTCCTATTAACTCTCTAGAACTTGCTTCAAAGTAAACCTGCCAGGATAAGGCTGCAAGAGAGCTTCAGAAGGATCGGTATAATATACTGAAGAGTTTTGTTTTTTTACAAGAAAGATACTTTTGATTTAGAGAGGTACACTGAATACTCAAAAGTGGGCACTGAACTCATACTGAACTTGATGGAGTTTCTGGAAGAGTGCCATAGATATGGCCATGTCGATCCATGCTACAGTAATCTTGAAGCTAGATTACTGTAATATCCTCTACAAGGAACTGCCCTTGAAGACAACTCAGAAGCTTCAGCTGG